TATTACTAATGACACATAAAGGACCGGTCATGTAGTATATGATACCTGATAACGTGTTGAATAACAAATAAGAAAATTGCGCGGGTGTGAAATGATACTTCTTGAACGGCGATAGATTCTATCTATCTTTCTCTTTTTTTCATCCTTTCTCTGTCTCTTTCTCTCTTTTTTTCTTTCTCTTTCCTTTTTAGAGAGAAGGAGAACGGAAAATATGTGAACATATATATATATATGTATATGCGTGCATTGCTCTCAGTTCGATAAAAAAATCTTATTCAGAACTTATCTTCTTCTTCTTCTTCTTCATCTACTCTTCCTATTCAATACAGCCACACACACAGACGCAAGATCTGTAACGTCAATTTTTTGTGTAGAACTATTTGACTTTTTTTTCAATTTTTCTTGTATAACTTCTCTTTTTCACTATGAGCAGTTCTGTTGTTCGCCGACAAAAATTTCAAAAAGCACCACCTCAACCAATAGATCGACATTTGGCTGAGATCGATGGATCTGATGGTACGATTTATATTAATGCCGGTATCGATTCAACCTGGTATGTTTAAAAAGAAAAAAAAGAAAAACTTTCTCTTTAATTATTAATCTCTTTATTATATTTAATTAGTTGTAAAAAACGTGGAAGAATGATACATACACTTACCAATGGTATCGTGGTATCATCTCAAACTCAAATGACAACAACAAGATCAATATGTGGATCTGGCGATGATTTATTATTGGAATTAACTAATGATAGTTTGAATGATGATCAACTTGATTCGATCAATAGTCAATGTTCTCATTGTGGAAAATAATATGATACAAATCAATAAATAGACTTTTATGTTAATGTATTATTCATATTAAGTGTTTTTTTTTTGTATATCTTTACTTTATTGTATAGCAACTTTTCTTTTTTTCCTATTGTTCGTTTTCCACTGTACATGCATATGACTGCATGAGTAAACATAGTGAAAATGAACAGCAACATTAGATTTATAATCAGGGCGACTGATTGAAATGTTTTTTGTTGTAAGTTATTTATTTCATAATAAATTAGAAAAAGATATTATTATGATCATTCATAGGATTTATTGGTCTTTGTTATTTATTACGAAACAGCATTGAATAAACGAGAGACTGTTTATAACTATCAAGACGAGTGCACTATGTATGATGAGATTTATTCCATTGTCATATAGTTATTCTTTATATTTGTATGAAAGAAAACAATAATTAACAATATAAGAAGCTATGAATAGATCATCAGTAGGCAAACAAAGTATTAAAAGGAAGAAAAACATTTTGGGGGTTGCTAGAACAACCGAAGTAATTCTATTTAAATAATAATACTTGAGTCTTAGGTCAGTCAGTTCTATCATTGCAAAATAGAGGGTTTATTTCGATGGCTAGACAGCATTTTGTTAAATTCATGTTACGTGGACATTTTATTTATTTGTCTAGAGAAGATTCTAGAATGTATTAAATTAGAATTTTTTTTTTTCAAAAGAATATTAATCAATCGATAAGAAAAAATAATCAATTCTTTCCGATAAATAATTACTTTTGGATAATATAAGTTCATATTAATATATAAAGTAGATGTCGCATGTAGTGTTAAATAATATTATATATTTTATTTTTCTAAATATTTTTTATTTTAGTTTTTTAAAGAAAATTTTTTTTATGAATAAAAAATATCTATAGAAAAATCGAATTTATTATTATAGTTTTTATTTGTTTCGATTAGATCCAATAGATTTAATTTGTATTGTTTATTTGTTTGTTTATTTTTTTGTTTCTCTTTTATTAAAAATTTGTGCTGATTGATTTTTCTTTATTTTCTTGATTATATAGATCTTTAAAATAAAAAACTTTTTATGATGAGTACTACACATTTAAATGAGTTAAATACTAATGAAGAGTATTTATGTTCACGTGAAGAACAACCTCAACGTCATCCATCAACAAATTCCTCAACACCAAATTCATCAGGTGGTGAAAAACAATTTCATTTAACAAGCAATAATAATGAACGGTTAGATAATAAGCATATTGTTGTTCTTTTTTTTTCGTGAAATTTAGTTTTTGTTTTTTTTTTGTTTTCGAAATGAATAGATCAGGACAAAATTCAAGAACGAGTTCTTTCGCTGAATCAACAACAACAACTTCATCAACATTAATTAATAATGAAGGTTTTTCTAACGTTGGAGAAATTATTCAACATTTACAAAGAGGTTTGTCAAAACTCTTTGGTTTTTTTTTCTCTTCAAAAATAAATCATTTACAAAAATTGTTAAGGAAGAGAAAAGTTCATAATGATTATTTTTTTCAAGGTTTTCTAATATCATATTTGGCAGCAAAGTCTTTGGTAATATATATATATATATATATATACATCTAGAGTTTACCAGAAAACTTCTGTCGCACATCGATTTTTGTCTATCTTTGCACTTAGCGATTTCTTGTTTGAATAATAATTTTGTTTCTTTTTTCAACTATCACATAAGAAATTATTCACGAAACTTTTTAACGTTGATAATATTATTTATAGATTACTCGATCTCGTGATAGTAGCAAGTGTATACAAATAACATTCATTTTGTTTTCAATAATTGAAAATGATTAGTTATTATTTAATAAAATCAATAGAAAATTATTTCCTAGTACGCCTTTTCACCTTTGCGCAAAATCTGAGTAATAAAGTTCATTGTATATTCTACAATATTTCTTAATTATTTATTTACTATAGTTTGAGCTGAGCGAGCGATCAATTTTATTTGCATACGAAACATATTGAACTATGCATAGAAAAAAAAAAAGTTGACTAGAAAATTGGAAGTATTAGCAATTAATACATTATGTTTTTATCAGAAGCCCATATCCTGGATGATGATGGACGAAATATTTTTTTCATCTGTGATGTTATTATTGTCAAAGTGTTCAAAAAAACAAGGTCATCATATTCTCTATGAGACACTTTCGAATAATTCTGATGTCTAACAAATAATTTAATTGCGCTAAGGCATAGACAGCTCAGGGCTATATATATTTGAATGGAGAAAAACAAAACAACTTTTATTTAATTTAAAATCTACAACAAACTAAATTTAATTTTCTACCCAAATGCTCCGCGCTTTGTATTTCCTAGTTTTTTTTTTTTCCTTCGTATTGATTCACTTTTCACAATAATTACTAAAAGTTATTTGATATAATTAATGCCTTTACACTATAGTTGAATGTAAATCTATGAAACTTAAGCAATACAAAATACTAAAAATTTCTTCTTATGTATTTTGTTGTTCTTTTTTTTATATTTCAGTTTGGTTTGATAATAATAATAATAACAATAATCATGAAGGTTCACGTCGACCAACAAATACTTCAACAACATCATCAACAAATCATACAAATATAAATGAAACAGTTCCATCACATCATACAAAAGGTCATTCTCAACAACATTATACTCATCATCAATCTGGTCAACAACAACAACATAATCAATATTCTGGACAACAATATTGGAATAATTATAATAATCCTCGTCGATCTGGTAGTGGGAATTACACTCGAAATTATAGTGGAGGAAATAATGATCTTTATTGGAATCAAAAATCAAATCGATTTCCATCACATCGTTCAATGAATAATCTTATGACAAATTCAGTTAATTATCAACAACAATCTCAATCATCACCACCTACTCAACGACGTCAAAGTGAACAACAACAGCAACAATATTACCATAATGAACAGCAGCAGCAGCAACAACAACAACAACAACCTGCACAATCATATTTTAAAAGTAAGATTCAATATACAATACAACCTTTCTATGCGAGCACTTCTATATACTACACAGTCTATAGTCCGCCCAAATGCATTGTGCTAGAAATGAGTACCTTCTTATTCTAAATAGTGGG